TGAATTATTAATGTCATCTTTAATATGCAAAGTGTCTTCCACACATTCATCAACAACATCAATTCGAAAGTAGTCATTATGATCCATAGGATTTTACAAGATTTAATAACATAAAAAACAATCTCTTCTTGACCAACCCTTAAAGTTAATTTGCCCTCATATACATCAATCAACGCTCTTGTAGTTGCAAGAAAGGGTCTTCCAAGGATTAAGGATCCTTCTCTATCTTCATCAATATCAAGAATGACAAAATCAACAGGGAAGATAAGTGTACCTACCTTTACGAGCACATCTTCTACAATTCCTCTTGGATATTTGATCGATCGATCTGCCAATTGTAGAGACATCCTTGTTGGTTTTAGCTCTCTCGGGTCGCCCATCCCTAGCAATCTTAAAAACTTCATCAAGAATAAGGTTAATGCTAAGCACCTTAAATATGCTAAAGCAATTTTCAAAATCAAAGTAATTACCAATATTACAGATAGAAAAACTTCCTGGATCTTTTAACTTTGGAGGCAGTTTATTTTGAATGATTGCACTACATTCCTCAATTAACATTATCGTTCCTTGATCATCGATTTTCCGTTTCTTGCTTAGAATCTCTTTTAGAAATTTGGCATAACTGGGCATTTGAGCGAGAGCTTCAACAAAAGGGATGTTGATTTGAAGCTTTTTGAAGACATCAAGGAATTTGAGGAAGCTTTTGTCATCTTGTGCTTTCTTTAATCTTTGTGGGAAAGGGACAGGTGGAACATAGGGTTTTACTTCCTCTTGCTCTTCTAGGTCAATGATGGGAACTTTTTTCTGCTCTTCCTTTTTCTTATCTATCTTTGGTGGTTCTTCTAACTGTTTGCCACTTCTCAATGTGAAAGCCTGTACTTCCTCTTTAGGATTCTTTTCGGTATTACTAGGTAACGCACCTTGAGGTCGGGATGCCATCATGTTTGCAAACTGTCCGAATTGAATTTCCAAGTTCCTTATTGTAGCTTGTTGGATTTTGTGGTTTTCCCGAGTTTCATTCATGAAGTCCATGTGAGATTTGGAGAGAGCAGTGAGAAGATCATTATGAGTCTTTTGCTCTTGAGAGGTTGAGTGGTTTATCACCCTTAGTGTTCAATCATGAAGTCCATTGTGAGATTTGGAAGAGTATGCACGCTGAGAAAGACTATGTTATGAGTCTTTTTTGCTCTTTGAGAGGCAACCAACCTGAGCGATTGTGTGATATAATTGAAGCATTATTTTGCGATCCCATCGAACAGCATATGCAAAGGATGAATTCGCTCTGTATTACTTAATGTTTCATAAATTACACTTAAGGAGGAATAAAAGACGAGGATTCAAGGCATTATTTGGATTCCCATAAGATAGATTAGGATGATTCCTTAACCTATTGTCATAATAATTAGAATACGGGTAATTCTTCCTTCCTTGATTCATCACATAGTTGATATGTTCCAAAGTTTGTGGATTTGAAATATCTAGCATGCATTCTCCAATTCCTTGTTGTCCATTTCACAAACTTGCATGATAGAGTTAACAGGGTTAGTAGTCAATAAGTCCAACTTCCTTACCATGTTATCTACTTTGGCATTTAGTGCGGTGATGGCATCAATTTCATAAACTCCTGCAGTCCTCTTCCTTTTCGGAGTTGCTTTGATAATGGCTATTGCTTGTCATCTCCTCTATCAAATCATATGCCTCATCAATTTCTTTTCGTTCAAAGGATCCACCTGCAGCTGCATCTAGAATAATCTTAATGTTAGGAGATAATGCATTATAAAAAGTTTGTACCTGTAACCATTTGGGCAAGCTGTGATGAGGGCACTTTCATTTTCTCAATAAATCTGTGAATCTTTTCCAAGTTTCGTATAAACTCTCTTGATCATGGTGAACAAAAGTCATTATCTCATTGCGCAGTTTTGTGGTTTTTGAAGATGGAAAGAATTTTGCTAAAAATTTTTGGGCTAATTCTTCCCACGTTGTAAAGCTTCCAGTAGGGCATGATTGTAGCCAAGATCGTGCTTTGTCCCTAAGAGTGAAAGGGAAGAGTCTTAGTTTTATAGCATCCTCAGAAACACCATTTTGTTTGAAGGTATCGCAAATTTTCAAGAAATTTGTGATATGTGCATTAGGATCTTCACTAGGTAAACCTCCATATTGAATTGAGGTGGACAGCATTTGGATAATTGCAGGTTTAATTTCAAAATTATTAGTTTTCACCCTAGGTCTAGTGATACTCGAGGTTGTTCCATTGAGAGAAGGTGTCGTATAATCCCGCAAGGTGCGGATAGGATGCTGAGGTAAAGGTCCGTCCTGAGGATTAACTTCATCACCCATGTTTGTTTGTTGTTCTCGTGCTCTTCTAGCAGCGTTGTTCCTACGACAAGTCTTTTCGATTTCTACATCAAATATTAAGGGCTCAGTTCGACCGGATCTTTTTTGCATATACACCTGAAATAATCTTCTAAAATAATTAACTAAAACAAAATAAGAATAAATGTCTAAATTAATAATAGGGTAATTATTATTGATATTGATAACGCCAATCCCCGGCAACGGCGCCAAAAACTTGACAATGACAGCAACGGCGCCAAAAAACTTGACAGCTTATTTTCGCAAGTGTACGAATCGCTACAAGTAATATATGATGAGTATGATATCGTTCCTTCGATGATTGTATTCCAATTACCAAAATTATGTTATCTCGTTATTATTTAAACGATAATTGAGAGAATTGTTTTGTAATTATAAAATGAATGAGTAAAGTAAACAAAAATTGATTAAAAGAAATCAAGGAATTGAAACTACTAGGGGTTTTGATTTCACTTAATCCTATCCAATTTATTTCATTAGTTCATTACTTAATTCTATCCAATTATTTTAATTAATTCGTTAAATCAATTTTATATTGTTCAAGTAAGGAAAAACCCCAAAAAATACACAAACAAGCTCCTCCGATGTATTGTTAGCTATTTTTAACCCGTCTAATTACCTATCTTTCAATAAGCGCAATCAAACATGAATTAAATCATTAAGTTTTATGGTTTTGTTTGTGAATTCATAACCTAAAGGTCCTAACCTAAGGTCATTAACTTATGAAAACCCCTCATGAGTCAAATCATATAGCTTCCGCATCAAGTTATTATTCTCGTGTAATTTATTACATTTTTCATATCGAAAACCCTTCTCCCGATACTAATTAATGAAATAAATCAATCTAGGGGAGAGACTCTGCCTAGAAGCATTAAGTTCAATAATAAATTATACTTTGAACAGAGAAAAACAAATCTAATATTATAAATTGGAAAAGAATTTAAGCTACATCAAATCCCTAGTATGAGGATTTAGTTTGGCATATTAATTAAATAAAACTCAATAATACTTGAATAAAACTTCATAATCAATATGAATAATGAAAGGTAAAATAAGATTAAGAGTTTAGAAATAAAAACTAGACAAAGATAACAGATATGTGGGTGACTTCCTTGAATCTTGGCAGGAATCTTGAATGCTTGAAGTCTTTGAGAGAGAGAGAACTATATAGAAAAATAATAGAACAAGAGATCCCTCTACACTGAATGGCTCTTCTCTTTACATAGACCTCCTGGAAGAAAATCCGACTCCGTTTAGGAAATAGAATCCTTATTAAGTATGAAATCTTTTTGGAGATCACACTGATTAGGCTTGGATTTCTTCTCAATTAGGACTCTTTCATCTTCCTAAATAGGTTTAGATCTTGATTTGCACGTCAGGAAAATATCTGAGGTGGGCCCATGTAAGTTAGAGAGACTGGCTGGCGTTTTTAATTCAAGACAGTTCAAGAGACTGGCTGGCATTTTTAATTCAAGACAGCATTAAATTCGTAGCACGGGCGTGCTGTTCTGCACGGCTGGGGCGTGCCAGAGTCTGAGTTCTATGGATAATTCAGCACGGTCCGTGCTCTGCGACACATTTAGAGAAGTATTTGTGGCACGGGCATGCTCCATAGCACGGCCAGGGCGTGCTAGGCTCTGACTTTCCGGGATAAAATGCATCACGGGCGTGCTGAGGTCCTTTCAGGCACGGGCGTGCCAGATAGCACGGGCTGGCCGTGCTAGAGTCTGAGTCTCCACTTGTTTTTCCTTAAGTTTAGCACGGGTTGGGCGTGCTAGAGCCCGAGTGTTTTGCTTTATAATGCTCTTTTCTGTACCAAAACCCTGAAAATTTCTTTAAGATCAAGTGGATTATGATTCAAGGAAGTTTTGAACAAAAATATAAATAAAACGAAGCGAAAATTAGTTAAAGTGATTAAAATTGCTAAAATTTCAAATAAAAATTATATTAAAAACACTGTAAAAATAACAATTATCACAACCTATACAAATGGTAGCATTCCCCTTGATGGAGTAATATATTAGTAATTAATGTTTAATTATCCTATACAAATGTACATATCATATTATCTTTCAAAAATGAATACAATATATCAGTGTGCAATAATATTAAAGCCTGATTCTGATGGGACAACTTCCAAGTTTACGACTTTAATTCAATCTAGTTTCAATAGAACACGATTGGGCTTCCCCCCAAAGAAAATAAGTTCAGCTTGGGCATGGGAATTGGGAAGACAAGACAGAGTTTGAAAATTGAAAGACGGATATTTTCTTTCCTTTGACCAAGATATTTTGTAAAAATTGAAAGCAAGTCTTCTACGGGTCAGCGGAAGCTTTCTCTTTTTCTTTGATCAAAAGCAACACAAAAGATGAGGTGGGTTATTGCTAATGGCTAATGCATATCTCTTTCTTTTTATACATACTAGTGCTTGTACTACAAAACAATCCTAGTTACTTTCTGCTTTCACGAGTCTCCTTATTCCTTCCTTTGCGGCAAAGAAATTGCATTTTCTCATATGGGTTATAAATGATAAAACCAAGATACTCTATGGGTTCTTTGTTTGTATCTTTCCTCTATTGCTAAGAAATAAAATTTCTTATGTGGGTTTTAAGGAGACAATATTTAAGGAGACAATAGAGCAAGGAAAATAGTTCAAATAAAAATGATGGAAGTAGAGACTTCAAGCAAAAATGGAGGAATTCCTAATGACTGTGATTTCATTACTACCATGTTTTCCTGGTCTCTTGAGGACATTTACAATGACCAACTTTTCAAGGTTGGGTTTTTTCGCTCCTTTTGTTACAATCATGTGCAGCTTTTGGATTCTTTTTGGATTATTATTTTTTTTAATTGTCTTGTTCAGTTTTTATGATCTGGTTCTATTTGGGTGATATGCTTTGATGGTTGGGCCTTGGAGGTGGCCCAATATTCAGTTTTTTTGATTGCTTTATTCTTGCCTTCCTCCCTTTCTCTGCATGTGAATGTCTGCAAAAGTTTACTAGAAAACGATTAGAGCCATGTGGAAAGGACTCTGATCAATCTTGAATAAGATAACTTGGTATTTTTTGTAAAGAAATTGATGGGTCCAATGGATGCCATGAAATGGCAATGTTAATAATGAGAAGTAATAAGTTTTGTCTGTACATTCTGTTAGAGTAATATCAATTGTACACACACACACACAATTTTCAATGTAATTACTGAAAAAATTCAACAAACCATCAACGAAATTCATTCATTCCATTAGATTTAACAATGCTTTATAGAGTGAAGTCTGGGTTGGGAGGTACTTAGGATATTCAAGGTGCTTGTTTCACAATGATGCTTTATACTTGGATGGGGGAAGTGCAACAGGATCATATTATAATGGTGGTAACTCGCGAATGATCTTTCACTGTTTTATTATTCTTTATCCATATGATTGATGATAAAAACTCGGTAATGTTGAGCATAATAATTGATGGTGCATACTTGGCATCATTTGTTGTTTCAACAGTGATTGGTTGCTTCATGCCTCAGAAAAGAAATTGACATGCCTCAGAAAGAAATTGATAGTTGAGCGAATCAATAATTTTCTTCTAACTATCACTTAAAATGTATTTTGTTCTCGTCTTCTTGAGAAATGATTGCTCATGCAAAATCACAAGCATATTTGCTTATCTTCCAATAATAACAGTTAAAACAGGCATATCATTGAAGGGTTTTCATATGTTATTAATATATAACAAAGTAACAAACCAACTTGACAAAATTCTTTGTGTTGAATAGAACAACTAATAGTCTTGCAAAGTTATATTCTAGATTGATCCATGTTATCCGCTTGACGAGTTCATTTCATTTTTGAAGTCAATACTTGTCTTCCCTTCTTTTAAAACTCTCCAGTGGTGTAGGCCATGCTTTCATCTCCAGTTTCTTGGTCTGATAATCATATGCTGTTGGAGAGTAATCTCAATGCTGGCATTCAGACTACATATTTTCAGTCATCAATGCAGCAGTTGACTCTTGAGAATTTCATCTCTAGCTTTTCATAATACGGTGATATTTCAATTTTTTGTAGGTGGCAGCAATTCCAGATTTGTTTGAATCGGTTGAGCATTATTTTTCATCATATGTACTTCCCTTATTGGAGGAAACACGGGCACGGCTGCATTCAAGTATGGAGATTATTTCCAAAGCACCAACATCTGAAGTTATTTCATTGTCTCGGAGCAGGCGTAATCAAACATTGTTTTATGATATTAAGATTGATTATTGGAGAAATGGTTTCAGTGATCGCCGCAAGGAGTTTTACAAAACATTGCCTGGAGATGTTGTTCTTCTGGCAGACATTAAACCTGAAACCGTTTCTGATTTGCAAAGGGCGGGAAGGACATGGACTTTAGCTCTGGTCACCAATATACCAGAGGATGAGATTGAGGATGCTAGTGCATCATCTACTCGTTTTAAAGTCAGGCCATCAAAGGACATTGGAGTTATTGATGAAATGCAGAAATCTTTTGTTGTGATTTTCTTGACAAATATGACCACTAACAGAAGAATATGGAATAGATTGCACACATTTGGAAATTTGGATATCATTAAGGAAGTTCTGTGCCTTAATTCAATGGTAAGGGGATTGAATATAATTGTTGTGAAAATGATTCTGAAAGTTTACTTAAAACTTACAATAGATTTGTGCATAAATCATCTTACTGATGCTCTTCAGCACCCTTTTTATATCTTATGTATAGTGAGATTAAATATCTGTTTTTATTCAATTCAGTAATTTCTTATTCATTTTGCAAACAAAATTGTTGAGTAGTTTCCTTGCATGTATTTGAAATGCTGCCTATATTAATGGGTTTAAATTGGAGTTTCATGTAATGTAACAGGTTGAGGAAAATTGCAGCCTCTGTTCCATGCAGAACAATGGAACCTGGGATGAAAATATGGTTATGAATCTATCATCTACATTGAATGAATCTCAAACTGAGGCAATTTTGGCTTGTCTTTGTAGAACGCAGTGCAATCACAGGTCTGCTGTGGAACTTATTTGGGGCCCTCCAGGGACAGGGAAAACTAAAACCATTAGTATGTTTCTCTTTACCCTCTTAAGGGTGAAATGTAGGGTCCTGATTTGTGCCCCAACCAATGTTGCTGTAACAGAATTGGCTTCTAGGGTCCTAAAGTTGGTGACAGAATCCTCTGAAACAGACTCAGAAAAGTTGGTGACAGAATCTTCTGAAACAGACTCAGCAACTGATGCTTTGTTTTGTTCTTTAGGAAATATTCTTTTATTCGGGCATAAAGACAGGCTCAAAGTCAACTCAGATATTGAAGACATATATTTGGATTATCGTGTTAAGAGGCTTACAGAGTGCTTTGCACCTTCGACTGGTGGGCGGTACTGTTTCACTGCGACAAAAATTTTTTTTGAAGATTGTGTTTGTCAGTACTATATTTTCTTGGAAAATGAATTGATCAAAGAGCAGGATTATGATCAGGAAAATAAGAAAAAAGATGAAAGTTGCAGTAATGGGGCTGATGTTTGCAGTGGAAAGCATAAATCATTTCTTGAATTCATGAGAGAAAGATTCTGCTCTACTGTATCACAACTGAAAAGATGTGTGTCCTTACTTTATGCACTCCATATACCTGAAAGCTACATTCTGAAACATAATATTCCAAAGTGTAAAAACCTCTAGAGCCATATTTTTGGATTTTCCAGCTGGCTGCGCATGCTTGTTATTTTACTGGGCTCTTTTGAAAATTTGCTCTTTCGCTGATGAATGTAAGTTCTCTCTGAAGAACTTGAAAGCTTTTTGCAGCAAGGAGGAGTTAGATGGGGATTCTTCTGAATATTTTGCAGATATTTCATTACAATTGTACTTGCATAGAACCAAATGCCTTTCCACTTTAGAAACTCTCTATAGTTCTTTCAGTGAACTTGAGCTTCCAAGTGGTATGAGCAAGTATTCTATAGAGGGATTCTGCTTTCAAACAGCTTCCTTAATTTTCTGCACAGCATCTAGTTCATATAAACTCTATTCATTGGCAATGCAACCATTGAACTTATTGGTTATTGATGAAGCAGCCCAGTTGAAAGAATGTGAATCGATAATTCCCCTTCAGCTTCCCGGTATTAAAGTATATAAAAAATCATTGCCATTCCCTTATTGGTGATGAAATGCCAGGTTACCAGCTACTGTCAGAGCATGTGCGGATATTAATTCCTAACTTTTTCTTTCTTCTTTTTTTTTTTTTTTTTTTTTTTTTTTTTTGTTTTTTTTATTTTTTTTTTTTTTATTAGTTCTTCTTTTTAAAAAAAACTCCTGTTTTGTTCTTCATTATGTCATTTTTTTTTTCTATAGCTTGCTTATGAAGCTGGCTATTGGAAAGAAGTTTGATTTTGAAAGGTTGAGCTTCTTTAGCGTCATCCGGAATTATTTGAAAGGTTGAGCTTCTTAGGTCATCCGAAACACCTTTTAAAAATGCAGTACAGAATGCATCCATCAATTAGTAGCTTCCCAAATTCAAATTTCTACTCTAATAAGATCATCGATGCACCAAATGTTAAGATAAGAAGTTATGAGAAATGTTATCTTCCAGGGCCAATGTTTGGTCCCTATTCATTCATAAATGTAAATGGTGGACGAGAAGAGGTGGATGATGTTGGACGTAGCCAAAGAAATATGGCTGAGGCAGCTGTTGTGTTGAAATTAATTCATTGCCTGTACAAAGGTATGATTAGTGGGAGTCCGATATTTTATTTGTATCCTGATTTGGAAATTGTTATTTGTGATTTATAAAATTCATATTTTTCCTGCTTGGCTTATGCTTTTATTACATTTTTTAATACTGACATTTTAAGAAATAGTTTACACTGCATTGAAATGCTAACTTCGCTCTCCCTGTATGGCCTAATATTTCACAAACTTAATGACCATGTTATATGCAACAACTAGTTTGATTGCTTGTTGTAATTCTCTGTAAATTTATGAACTAACCTAGATCTTTTTTGAATCACTAGCAGCGAGCATTGTCCTGCTATTTGATTGATTTTAACAAATGGAAAAATTATCTACGAGTCACAAGTTTTGTATACTCTGCTATTCATTTTATCTACCAGCAGTTTTGAATGCCCTTTCGTTTTTGTTTTTCCTTTTTGTTCAGAAGTTGGTAATTCAAGTAAGGGTACTCATTGTAGGTGGCATTTAACATTCTCTTCTTGTTTCTGATATTTTGGATTCAATATTTTATGCAAAATATGCCGTCAGCCAATTTTTGCTGATTTCTTAAATAAATTCATACATGAGGTTATATGCCAAACCAGTTAATCCTTAACCAATTATTTCTTCTTGTATTTGGAACCTCAATGTTTGTTTTATCCAATAAAGGAGAAACATGCAGAGTAAAATAGTTGACAATAATGTAGAAATTCATCTTGTGTGAGAAGTCGTAGAAATTCATCTTGTGGAGAAGGTCGAAGAGTGCAGCAGGATATTAATGATATTTTTAAAAAAAAAAAATTAAAAAAAAAAAAAAAAAAAAAGTAAATAATGCCGCGAAATTGATAATATTTATTTTGCTTCTCTGCAACTTTTTTGTGCTAATACTATATCTGATCTGTTGAAAAACATGCAGTGAGTCTTAGATTGATTCTCATTTGAAATCCTTGCCTGTTATTTATGTACAGCATGGAATCCTTGCCTGTTATTTATGTACAGCATGGAATGGCTTAAAACAGAATCTCAGCATCGGCGTTATATCTCCCTATGCTGCTCAGGTAGTTGCAATTCAAGACAAACTTAGTTCCAAGTATGAAAAAGTTGATGGCTTTTCAGTGAAAGTCCAGTCAATAGATGGATTCCAAGGTGGTGAGGAAGATATTGTAATAATATCAACAGTGAGATCAAATAGTAGTGGTGGTATTGGGTTTGTGTCTGACCCTCGAAGAGTTAATGTTTCTCTTACAAGGGCTAGGTAGCACTTCAGATTAACTCTTTTTCTACTACATTTCTCTTTATTAGTTCTAATAATAACTGTCAATAAAAAGCATTTAACTGGTATTCATTTTCTCCCTGGGTAAGCTTCCCAAAATAGATATTTTGATCCTTATGGTTTGTTAACAATTCTGCACTTTAGTGCTTGATTGTAAAATTATAGATTTTATCTTTGCAATTTACACTCAAAACAATTTAAATTGAAATCCACTTAAGTCATTGAAATTTTAAAATTTAGTTGCACTTCAGTATTTTAATTGTTCTATTATGAAAAATATGCTCCCTCAAACTCTTAACTTGTTTCATAACTTGTTTCATTAATAATAGTTTTAGGACTAAAAATGCTAATTTGAAATGGTAGTGAGTGTAGTGTATGTTACTGAATATCTTAGCATTTTTTTTTTGTCCATTCAGGCATTGCCTTTGGATTTTAGGGAATGAAAGAACACTTTTTAGAAGTAGATCTATCTGGGAAATGCTAATTCGTGATGCAAAACATCGTCAATGTTTCTTTAATGCTGATGAAAATAAAGAATTGGCTAAAGCCATTCTAGACGTCAAGAAAGAGTTTGATCAACTTGATGATTTGCTTAATGGAAATAGCGTGCTTTTCAAATGTGCCAGGTGGAAGGTACTTACCTGTAGTCAAACCTATTCTATTCCTCACATTTTTCCTATTGTGTAATCTCATCTCCAACATCCATGTGTTTTGCATTAATCAGAGCAAATGTTTTTCATGTCAATTCATTGCATCCCCAGGTTCTTTTCAGTGAATACTTTAGAAGATCATTTGGAAAGCTGAGAGCAAAATGGACAAGGACTTTCTGTTTTGAACCTGTCTGCTAAGCTTTCTATGTGGATGGCCGATCCTAAGAAAAGAAAGTGGATTTAAACTGTGAAAGCTCTTCTCAAATCTTGAAACAGTTTCAAGCGTTGAAGAACTGTATGTGATCTGTTCAGCTTGATATAGTGAAAGGAAGTAAAAATTACCCATTCAAAGTTCTGAAGGTCTGGCATATATTACCTTTGCGAAGACTATTCCAAGTTTGTGAAACGTCTCAGTGGACTTTGAAAAGACCACACAGATGATTTCAATCAGTCGTTGCAATGCACGAATGTTTGGAAGGTATTGTTTTGTTGACATTAAATTCAACCGGTGGGCGAGTCACTTTTCGTTGATCTATGTGAACTCCTTTCTGAACAAACCAAATAAGCATTATTCTTATATTGTTATTTTTATTTTGTTTTTCTAGAGACTTGAAAAGTTCCCAAAGTTTGGTCAACCTCAATTTGATATTGTCCGTTATAAGAGTCTCCTATCAACAATTGAAGCAGGGAATGATTCAAATTTTGGCGCTTGTTCTGATTCTAAATGGCTATGTGGAAAACTCCAAAGGTGAGTGATAGTTTTGTTGCTAAGGAAATTCTACTCCCTTGTCATCTGGATTGTGAAAGCGACTTGCTTTCTGGACCCGTGACGGTTAAAAATTAGAACTCCCTTTGAAGCTGACAGATGAAGAGTTGGAAGTAATTGTGTTTGCAAAGAACTACTATTTATTCTAGGACGGTCAGGGGACTGGAAAAACATACTGTTTTAACAGATGAAGTTGTTTCAGAAAGGAAGCAACAGTTCCAATGGCAACTGAAGGAATTCGGTTAAGACATTGGCAATTTGTCAAAGGATTTGCCTGCTGGAGAAACAATGTGGTTCTGATGAGCTAAAAAAGGTTGAGGACGGTGTTAGAGAAATAATAAGAAAAACGTCTTGCACCAGCTTTTGTGACAGTCAGTTCTAAACTTTGTATGCTGTAAAACATTCATGTTTCACAGCTGAAAAGGTGCGTAAACATATAAACTAGTAGAAACCAAATACTTTTCCCAAAATACCGAGTTTGCATTTCTTTATTTCGATGGATGTGCTGATACTGTTTCTGTATAGAAAATCTCTTGTAAATATAAATTGAAATGTTAGACATTTTTATAGTTTAATGTGTCAATAATCTTCTTATATTATATCTTTCTTTTCTCTACCATGACTAATTGGCTGGCTAAGATTTTCAGAATACAGAAATGTCTAAAAATTTTCATCTAATATCTTAACAAGAGATTCTTATGGCATTTCTGTATTCATTTATTTAAGACATCTGAGATTGAGAAATTCTTACATAGGTTTAGTTACCTGTGAATACGATGAAAGAAGTTTTTACATGGAGATTTGTTATTTACAAAAGCCTATTGTATGCATACAGCTTTGCACTCGGGGGAAAATAATATGCTTGAAATCTGTTGCGTTCTCTATTGAGTTCCCGCAAGTATACGGCGATCGGCAACGTAGTAATAAAAGATCGATTCCCACGAGGAACGGGTGAATACACTTACTACTTACTCTTTATAGTGTGTTTACAGAAATAAAAGTACAAAAGTGGATTGATACTTCTATTTTATACTAAGACTATATATTTAATTAAATAAAAGACAAGTGTATAGTAAAATTGATATTAGAATAATGTAATTATAAAGACAAAGTGTGTAGTAAAATAAATTAGATTAATTGATCAACACCAGGACTTTTCCTTCTCTATGGCAAAAGGCTTGTAATATGCAATAAAGAATTCCTTTAATACAAACATGGTATGATATTAATCAAAGCTTTTTCAGTATAGAAATTAACGTAGCTATTATAAGTTACTTATACTTATAATTAAAAAACCTTACTTGTAAATATTAAACCTAATTATCTTATTCTTTGATTATTTCAATAAATAGATTTAATTCCAACAGAAATAAGTGAAAACACTGCATATGTAAATTCAACTCAATGAAATTAAATTCCTTTGATCATTTACGTAAATTATTTCCTTATGAGAATATAATCTTAGTAAACTTTGAATTAAAACAAAGACCAAAAGATAAACTTAAAGAATTTTATTGAATACTACCAATTAGATATGTGCTTGCATAGAAGATTATGAAGAAGAACACATTACAAAAGCTGTAAAACAGAGAAAGAATGAATCTAACTCAGGCCTCTTGGAGGGCGGTTCACACCCGAGGGAACTTTTTGGTTTCTTGGCACAACAATAACAAGTGACTCTCCGTCAATCTTGTTCTAAGGTACTACTAACACCACTCTCTTGTGAATACAATCTAAGTATGTTGTGAATCTAATTCTGAATAGATAATCAATTTCTCGTATATCTTGTGTAGGCTTTCACTTTGATTGCTAGTTTATAGAAGAGAAGAGTGATGTTGGTTTGATTGGCCAAATTGGGCGTTAAGGTGACTTCCTCATGGGAAGAGTCCCGACCCTGCATAAAAGATATGATTTTCTGATGAAAAGGCCAGCAAACACGTTCTCCTGGAAATCTCGACTCGCGGCTCGCGCTTGTTGAAAGTCGCGCTCGCCCGACTTATGCTCTAGATGCTCTGCCTCTCAAGAGTGAATTACGCGCGCGCGAAGATGAAAGTCGCCGCTCGCTCTTTTGCGGTTGGAAAACTTCTGACTCTCAAAAGGTGCTTTGTCTATCGCGGCTCGCGTAGATGCATATCGCCTCGCGTCTTTTGCGTTCCAATCGCTTCTGTTAACTCAGATCTGCTTGTCGCCCCCGCGCTAGAATGCATATCGCGCTCGCGGAACTTCTTCCTGGGTGTTAGTTCGCGCGCGACTTCTGTTAGCCGCTCACGACTGGGGCGTGTTTTCTTTTCGACCCTGCTCCGCCGACTGTGAGGCTGGAATTTAAAGTGCTTCCATTCTTTCAACTTTGTTTTGGTATCTTCTTTTGTATAAAAACAAAGCTTTGCTGTCAACTTTGTACCGGGAAATTACTATAAAGCAAAACAACACGAAAACCAAACGTAAAAATATAGAAAACAATCATGCATTCATGCAATTTATATTGAAATAACATAACCAAGATTTGCCCGCTTTGCGAGGCTATCAATTCCCCCACAACTTAGCTTTGTTGGTCCCTAAGCAAAAATATTCATCTTTCTTTTTGAACTTCATGTTGCATCATGTTTGTTTTTATTCGTTGATTTAGACTTCTTAAGTCAATCTACCAAAGAATAAGAGATTATATATATTATTATAACCAATGTGTAATTGAATATGACAGTAAAATTTAAAAATAGCAAACAAAAATCTGAATATTAATAAATCCTAGCCATTTTTTAAGAAATGAGATAGACATCCTCCATCCTTAGAATGGCCAAAAGAATAGGAAGTATTTTAGATAGGCATACACTGTATCTTTTCTTAATCTCAAGGCATTTTTACGGTAGTTTTATTGTCTATCTACTCAAGTGTTGCCATTTTTTTTTTTTTTTTTTGTGGTTGCATTTTATGCTCCATACCACAATTCTTTTCTTCTTGCTATTTTTATTGAAGAGAGTATGTGGGAATGTAAATGATAAGTTGGTTGCATTTTATTGCTTTCATAACCCTTTTATTTAAAAACGGATTTTCCGTTATCTCCCCATCTGTATATTTTCTCTCTTGAACATACCTTCATCCTTTATGACTTGAAACATACAAGTATTTAATTTTCATTTGCTTCCATTCTTCATTCAAGTGAGATTCAAGCTTCTCTAAAACAAAAACATAAGGTCTAGATAATTAACTAAACATTAAAATGTGCTATTTGAAAAGTTTAAAATTTGTCATAATGTAAAATATCAATTACTTAAAGTTCATATAAACATTCAAACTCTCTAACCATGGTATATTATTCAAGACTTCTAATTTTCAACAAAGCCAAAACAAAGCAAATCAACATGCAGAACTTAAAGCAAATGAACGTAAGGGCAAAGAAGTTGACTTTTTTAATTGATTGCATTTTTTTTTTTTTTTTTTGAATCAGAGAAAATAAAAGAAAATGTAAGTCTCCCCCACACTTAAAAGACCACAATGTCCTCATTGTGGGATGAGAAAGTGCCAAGAAAAAACAAATATTCACAATGGCAATTCAACAACCCAATACTGAAAAAAAATATATTATACTAAAGAAAACTAAAGGAAAGCAGAAAAACCTTAGGCGCTCCGAAGAGAACCTGGAGGCGATGGACGTAATTCGATGTTTTATGGTGGAAATATTTCATCCACTTTCCGTTCCCAATCCGCTCGTGGTTTTTCTGAATTGTAAGCAATTTGTGTCCCATGTCAAGAACAGTAGCTTTTGCAAGGTTCCTGCGGACGCTGTAAAGCTTCAACTTTACCCGAAGGACTTGCCTCCATCCGGCAACGTCAATCTCTTGCTTCCTGTTCCGCAGTTGAAGAAGATGATGCGGAACTGGCGCTTTTCCTTTCCGCTGTCTCTTTGCGTTTGTGCCATCCGAGGTTCCTTCATCGCGCCGCTGTGTCCCAACCTCTTCTTTCCCATGGCTTCCAACGATAAAGAAACTGTGCTTCCAGTTTTTACTTTCCTCAAAAACCAAAACCTTGTTTTTTTCAAAGGAATGCTTCCATCCATATATCCGAAAAGTATCTGTAGGTTGGCTGATAATGGTGGAATAGGGTATTCGCAGCAATATGTACCAAGATAGCCGCCAGACTACCTACTCCCGAAAGTAACTTTTGCCTTGATTACGAGAGGCGTCTGGTATAATGTATCAAGGCATAATTCCGTGGCAACATCCACTGTTTTCCCCTGCAAAATACGATCTAAAATAAAAACAAGTCCCTTGTTGTGGACTTTGGATGCTTCCAACCCGCCAAACAAGGCATTAACATCAAGTATTTCACAGAATATAAAAATGCTCTCATCTTGTTATCCATTTATTCCCAGAATTGGCGTGGGGTAAAAGCCTGATTGCCCTGTTAGTTTTTTCCCAAACGGAAAAGGCACTCCAGTCTTTCGGTTTAGAGGACTTAAACTTTTGGGAAATCCTAACCGTTCATGCATTGATCATATCCTACAGATAATTTCTTCTCCATCCACTCTAAATTTTATGGCTATTGATCTTCATCCACCCAATCAACGTTAGTGGAAGTTAATTCTAAACTTAATTTAGCATTCTAGGAATTTGCAATTGACTAAATTTTTCCAAAATGTAAATTTTTCAGATCATTCCTGTACTTTCTCTAGAATACCAGTAATCTTGCAAAAAGGTTGGGGCAAAGAAGAATAACATTAACCTGTTGAAAGTGCATTTGGCTAGGCGGTGTGTAGCGTTCGCCTTCTACTACAGTTATATAGGGGAAAGGAGCCTTAAATCTGGTGCCAAATCCTTTTCGTGCAGGTGCCAGAGGATGAAGATCCTTTCCTTGGTCTTCCTGGCCTTTGCTTGAATTTGGCATGGGATGTTGAAGTGCTGGATGGAGATATTTGTGTTTAGGATATGCAACGGCGCCAAAAAACTTGTTACCTGGGAATTGGGTTTGGACATGGACAAAGTTTGGAGGTTTGTGAAGAAGGGACTTGAGTTTCTTATATAGATGAACGGGGAAGGATAGGGTTTAAGTAGTTTAATGGGGAAGTTAAAAAGAAAGAGTTTGATTGGATTTGGAAAGCGGTACTTAACAGTTTTTGCAGATTTGAATGGCTTTGGGAAGGCCAAAGAATTGAATGGAATAGAGAGGACAGTTGAGAATTTCTGACCGTTAGAGAAGTTGCCAGCCAAGAATTTGTAACGAATCGCGCCAGGAATTTTGCTAGAGTCGCG